TAACTGGGGATCGATATTTTCCTATTAAAAACCCCAATAACTGGAAATCGATTTTCTTCTATAGAAAAAATTCCCAAAAACTGGGAATCGATTTTTTTCTATAGAAAAAAATCCTCAATAACTGGGGATCTTTTTTCTAATAGCTTCAACCTTTAATAGCTAATGGAAAGTGTTGTTGTCAACACATTAATTTTTATTCAATTTGCAATTGTTGTTGTTGTCTGTCTGTCTGTGCTCAGCTTTGTGTGTAATCACAAACAAAGCGTTTACATTGGATCTTTATATGGTCATTTGATTATTCAAATGTTAACTGTAACACAACTGTCATTCACAAAAAGCAGTATAGAGGGTGGGAAACGTCCATTAGTCGAGGCGGGGAGAGCAAATGCAAATAATTTTAAAGCGTCGCTTTTAAAATGCGACGTAATGCAAAAAAAATATATAAAAATATGTTTTTGTTTATAATAGAGGTTTGTGTGCTGAACTTCGTTTGTTACTGGAGCCATGTTCGAACGGAATTTCAAATAGAATTTTAATTAAATAAATTTAACCTACCAGGCCTGTTTAGTGTGTCTTGACACTACCTCCTTCAATCTGTTACGGCAATTTCAATTTCATTACGGCAATTTCAATATTTTAATCATGTTTTCCTCGAGTCAAAACTGTAGCATTCATGTTTGTTAACAACTTTTGTTGCCTACAATAATTTATTGTTTTATAAATGCTGCTTAGTAAAAACAAATTGAGCTGTTTGCAATTTTGAACGTGACAACGTTGGTAGACAAATTTCCTTATATGGCCACGAAAAAAAATCAACTAAACAATATTTGCAAAAAATTTAACCCCATTTATAAGGGTTTTTTCTATATTTCTATTGGAAAAAATTCGATCCCCAATTATTGGGGATTTTTTCTATAGAAAAAAATTCGATCCCCAGTTATTGGGGATTTTTTCTATAGAAAAAAAATCGATCCCCAGTTATTGGGGATTTTTTCTATAGAAACAAATCGATCCCCAGTTATAGGAGATTTATTTTTATTTTTTTCTTTATGTTTTCTATAAAAAAAAATCGATCCCCAGTTATTGCGGATTTTTTTCTATACAAAAAATCGAACACCAGTTAGTTCCCCAGCTTCTTGGTCAGTAAAAAATCGACCCGAAGTTATTGCAGATTTTTTGCTATAAAAAAGTTATTTGGGGATTTTCTGGAATTTTATATTTATTTTATTTTTAAAGCCATACTTCAAACTTTGAAATAGGATATGCAAATTGTTTTTGTTGTTGTATATTTTTTATTGAATTGTATTACGCATATTTCTATTAATAAAACTGACCTTGCTTGGCAGCGTCCACATGTTTTTTTTTTCTTATTGTTGGTAAAATAAACGACAACAACAACAAAAACTAAAAAATCTACATAATTTATTACAACACCCTCACACAACAGTAAACTTGTTAATTATTATAGACAATGAATATTTAACCTTTTTTGTACAAACAACAATAAATTTTTATTATATTAACTTGTTCGTAATTAAACAAAAAAACCGTATGAACAAAAAACAATTATTCAAATTTTTTTGAGAGACGGTGGAGAGGAATAGATTATAGTAAGTGTGGAGGATGTTTTCGAATATCGTCATCATTATTCAAAAAATATTTATTTTTAAATAAAATTAAATTATTTTAGGCTAAACAAAAATTCATTTTCCGGAGTCAGGTATTTTTTCAAAAAAATTATTAATTGTATATTTTTTTTTTTTGAAAACTACTTTCATTTATGGTTTTGATTAAAATGCATTTTTTTGAAAATGTTTCGCAATCCTTTGTTGTTAAAAAATTTATGATTTTTCCTACTCATAAATTCCCTAACACATGGTTTTTCATGTGAAAAATTCCTGTTTTTTCACCTTGCATCTTCTTAAACAATTCTCTTCAATGTTTCTATTAGAAAATAATCGTCAATAATTGTTTAGAATCAAAGTTGAATTTTTTTATTTTTATTTTTCGAATTATAAATATTGAAATTTTAATTGCATGATATCATCATCGGCTTTAGAATCATTTAAATAAAATCAAATCACAATGAGATTCAATGGGAGAAAGGAGAAATGATCGGAATGAAAAAGAGAGCGAGAGAGTGGAGGAGCAAGAGAAAAGGGGAGATTGGCTGTGTGAATATTTTTTGTAAACATTTGTTATTGGCATTCAGCGATTATTGAATGCTGATACGATACAACCATAGAAAATTCAATAAACAATTAGAGAGATTGTGTAAATAAATTTAATATTCAGTTTTAGAAGTTTTTTTATAGAAGGAAAAACTGAGGCCAGATTTTTTCAATAATAAAAAAATACAAAATAAAATATTTTTTTTTTTATAGAAAATGTCCTCAATAACTGAGGATTGATTTTTTCTAGAGAAAAATGTCCTCAATAACGGAGGATTGATTTTTTTCTCTTGGAAAAAAAATCCACAATGACTGAGAATTGAATATTTTCTATAGAAAAATTATTATTTGTTGCCACTCCAAATAAACTTACCCACGTGATAAAAGTTCATTACACCTTTTTTGAAAACTTACTGACGGTAATCTAATATGCTCATATATATGTATTAACATTGGCATTCAAATACTACAAGAAGCTCATGTGTAGTCAGTCTTATGTCATAAATAAGCATTTACATTTCAATAGAACATGAGCTTGATATTCGGATGAAGAAGAAGACGACGAAGTGAATAGGGAAGATATCTCGTTTTGAATTTCACAAGATGATGATGACGTTATGACATCATTAAATGTCTGGGGTAAATAAAATATTTTCCACATTCATCATCATCATCATCGCGACAAATATTTCTTCTGTCGTCATGGACACATATTTAATGTGTGGCCACTATTTTTGGCACTTAAATTAATAAAAATTAAATTAATCAAAGGCATTTTGGGTGGAAGATTTTTTTAAAACTAAAATTTTAATCAAATAATATGTGTTTAAATTAAAAAACAAAATATGCTTTAAATTCCACGACTTACATAGAACCATAAAAAAATATTATTTTAAATTCCCAGATTTTTATATATATTCTAAATACATTCTTCTAAAATTCAAGCCATTTGCAGGCGCTTTAAAAACATTTCTTAAAATCTTAGACAATTATTATTGATCCAAATATTTGTCTTCAAAATTCTCGGATTTTTAAATATTCTTTAACCATTAAGGAAAAGTAGTAAAGTCGGACTGGGCCGAGTATACGAAACCATTCACCACTTTGGCTATATTCTACATAGTCTCCTAACAGACGTCGCCTTTTCGAAAGAACATTGATATGAAATTGAAAGAAAGAACTTTGATGCACCATTTCTATAAATCGGACGAAAATATATATGGGAGCTATATCTAAATCTAAACCGATTTGTACGAAACTTTACACACATCATTCTAGGCTTAATTCAGTACGCTGTGCCAAATTTCATGCAAATCGGAAGTTTTTTATGGACTTTGCCACAACATTTAACTTTAATCGGAAGAAAATGTATATGGGAACTATATCTATATATGAACCGATATTCACGAAAATTAACACACATCATTCCAGACTCAATTCAGTGCGCTATGCCAAATTTCGTTCGAATCGAAAGATATTCAGGGACTTTGGCGCACCACTTACCTTAAATGAGAGTTATATCTAAATCTGAACCGATATTCACGAAACGGTATGTTATACCAAATTTCGTGCAAATCGACAGATATATAGAGGCTTGGTGTACCATTTACCTTAAATCGGACGAAAATATATATGGGAGCTATATCTAAATCTGAACCGATATTTCCCAATTTCAATAGGGTTGGTCTTTGTGGCATATAAATGAGCTGTGCCAAATGTCATCCAAATGGGATGATAAATACGACCTGTACTTTGTTTACAATTTAACATTAACAGACCGACGGACGGAGGACATACATAAATCGACACAGAAAGTGATCCTATGCATATTCTCAAAAGGAAATATGTCTCTATCTCGTTTCCTTTCGTCTGTTAAAAACATATGCACAAAGACATAATACCCTGCACCACAGTGTGGTATAGGGTATATAAATATTTCTTGGATGGCCTAGAAGAGTCGTGGATTAAAAAAATTGGACGCCTTTACGATTTAAAAAATATATATTTCATGCAAGGATTTAAAAAAGTTTTTTTTTTTCTTGGAAGGCCTGGAAGGGTCGTGGACTTAAAAATGTTTTTGTAAGGCCTAAAAGATACTTGGATTTTAAAAGAATATTATAGAAGGCGTGGATTTAATGATATTTTTTAAAAAAGTCTATAAGAAACTTAAACAAAGACACTCCGAATCCGACTCTCATTCGTTTAGTGCTTTTAAATCTTGTTGTTTCGGATGGAGCCATACCAGCTCCGCTTACGAGCTGCTTTATTGGCGCCCAACGTGGGGCCTGCTTCATTGAAACCCAAAGTGGAGCCTGCTCCCTACATTGCCCTTAGATTTTGTTAATTAATTTATGTACGTTTTCATTATTAGAATTTAAATTAGCCGTTATTTTTTCTAAATACTATATATATTTAGCTATACAAAAATTATATACTATGTAAAAATATATTATATTTATGTACAAATATTATCTACATATATTATCTATTAATATAAAATATTCTTGTATTTCTTTTTCTTCTTAACTTTTCCTCTCTCTCTCTAATGCTGCCCTTCCTCAAAAAAAAACTAATGTACAACCAACCAACCGAAAAACTAAATGCTTTTTGCCTCTAATTTAAACAAATTGAAAAAACAAATTTGAAATAATTTTGAAATGCTGCTTTTGAAACAAAATAATACAATGGATGTTATCTTCAATGTGTGTGCATTATTTTAAAACAAAAAAAATATTTATTTTTTTTTGGCTGCTTTACAACAAATACACATATTACATATAAACATATTGTTTACTATATATATGCGAAACCAAAAATAAACCATTAAAGTACAACAAAAAAGACAACAACGACCAGGTATTTTAGAACTTTGAGATGAGCAACAAAATTTTCGTATATCAAAAATTTCAATTTTTTTTGTATATACTATTGCACATTTTATATACATACATACATATACGTACATTTTTATGTTCCAATGTATATTTGCATGATTTTTTTTTGGTTTTCTTTTAATGACTATTATTTCATTATACAAAATTGTAATTAATATAATGTTTATTTCTTTGTATATTTTTTATGTGTTTTTGAGGTGGCTAACAGAGATCATTTATTTTTAAAAAATATATTTTTTCTTATTTTGGTTTTTTATAATATACATACGTAATTATTATTCGTGTGGTTTGCAATTTAAAAAATCTTTAAAAACAAAATACAAAATTTTCTTTTGAAATCTTTGATTTATATTCTATAGAAAAAATGTAGACGAATAAGAAATTTTTTAACAGAAAAAAATGTTCTGTGATTTTTCGAGGTCTATAAGAGGCGTGGATTTATTAAAGAATATTTTTCCGAAGTCTATAAGAGGCATAGATTTATTAAAGAATATTTTTCCGAGGTCTATAAGAGGCGTAGATTTAATAAAGAATATTTTTCCGAGGTCTATAGGCGTGGATTTATTAAAGAATATTTTCCGAGGTCTATAGGCGTGGATTTATTAAACAATATTTTCCGAGGTCTATAGACGTGGATTCAATCAGTAATTATTTCTGAAAATATTCAGAAAATACATTTTTTATGTACCATCGTAAAATATATATGTATAACACCTTTGTTGTGCAGACAAAGACAAATTTCAAAATTTTCCATTTTATCTAATTTTATAAAAAAACAACACCTGTATTTTATTAGCAAAAAAGCGAAAATCTGTTGACTCACTGAGTGTCCAGGGATCTACCAGGGGCCAATGTGTATTTTCTGATGTTTGTGTGTTAATCCTCCACCCACTTGAGGTTATTTTCTATTGTTCTAAAATTTTATTTTTTGAATCGTCGCCAAACAACGAAATATCTTGTCACACTTGACAGCTCTCATCTTCTCAACGCCATAAAATTTTAATGAAATGATGAAAATTAACATTCCATGGTGAGTGACAAGAATAATACAAAATGATTTTTTATGGCAGCCGAAATATTTTTTACAAGCTATCTAAAGATAGAAAAGGATTTTGAAAGCAAAAAATATGTAAAGCGAAAATATATAGGATTATGGCTCAAACGAATTTTAAATCATGGAACTTAATTACACTTTTAAAGAAATGTCAATATAAATTACTTTAGACTGAAGATAAATACCCTATCGATAGATATATAGGGCCTTTTGTGTACCGTTTAAACAAAATCGGACGAAAATCTATATGGGAGCTATATCTAAATCTTAACCGAATTTCACGAAACTTAGGACACATCTTTTTGGACTTAATTCAGTGCGCTATACCAAATTTCGTGCAAATCGAAGGATATATAGAGATTTTGGTTCACCATTAACCTTAAATCGGACAAATCTGAACCAATATTGACGAAACTTAACACACATCGAAAATATATATGGGAGCTATATCTAAATCTACACCGATTTTTCCCAATTTCAATAGGTTTCGTCATTGGGACAAATAAATGAGCTGTGCCAAATTTCATCCAATTCGAATGAAAAATGCGACCTGTACTTTGTTTACAATTTAACATGGACAAACAGACGGATGGACGAACATGCATAAATCGACTCAGAAAGTGATTCTATGCATGTTCTCAAAGGGAACACAAAGGGTCAAACAGTCCTCAAAATAGAAAATAGAAGTCTTTACTTAAAAAGCCAACCATAAACATTACTTTTTAATTTTTATAATTAAGCGGATTTGACTGCGGCAAGAATTTCTTGTATCTATCATTGAAGATAGAAATTGCAAAAAAAGTATATTGACGCACTAAATTTTTGTGTCAAGATGTTCACAGATTTTATTTTTCAAAATCATTTTAAGAAAGAAGATTTTGTCTTTCTTTTAAAAATCTGATTCCGTTTAATGACATCGTTTCCCAAAACCTCATCAATAACTCAACACATACTTAGCTCCACGTCTCAAAAGACACAACAGCTGTATACGATATGATAGAAACATATTCCAAAAATATCTTCATTATTTCCGTTTTGAAACAGGGAATCCAAGACGACAAACGGAACAGAACGGAGGAACATGTACTTAAGAAAGGTGTCGTATTCAAACTCAAACTGAAGATCGAAGATTTATGTAGGATGTTTACATTAGAGTGTGGTCTATTTTTAGATACTTCAAAACAGACATACATTTCGTCACTGGGAAAATTAGGGGTTGGAAATTTTGTCACAACTCCACCAACATGAAAATGTTTAAATAGGCAAGGCCGAAGGATGTTCATTCACAGTTGTTAAGAAACCTTTGTAACTAAAACTTCAAAATAATACAATTTTGTTAAATATTATTTTTTTTGTTCAGTGTTATTTAATTTATTTATTAAGAAGAATTTTGTAAAATAATTTCTTGTGTTTTAATTCCAACTTGTTAATTTATTTGTTTAAAAATATCAACTCCTGTCAAAATGAATTCCTCCTTCAATCGCTCATACCAAACACACACTAAAACTCACACACGCACTTTTAGGTAAAAATTCAAAAGTGTTGTTAATTTATTTTATGTTTTTATAATTTATTTTTTGTATTTTTTTATTGGTATAGTATATTTTATTTATTTATTTTTTATCACACATCTCTATGTTTTATGTTGTAACGAATTTTTTTATTTTCTTTATTAATTTTTTTCAATTGTTTTTTTCTTTTTACAGCCAATCTACAAACTCTGCCCTCTCCTCCAGACCTAAGCAAAACTATATCTCCGATATCAGTTCTCCATTGATTCAGGTATGTAAATTTATGATTTTTGGTTTTGAAAGTAATTTATAAAACAATATTTTTAATAAAATACTTCCATAGAATTAAAAATAAAACTTAAAAAATCCAAGCTGTTATAAAAATATATTTAAGAAAAATTTTGATGATTCATAGCCAACAAAAAAATATTCTTTGATAGACTTCAAAAACTACTACTATTCAAAAATCAAAGCCTCACATTCGAACAGACCTTAATGTCTAGTTCTTAGAAATCTGTAATTCAAAAGCCATCCATAAGCAGTACATGGAAATGTTTTCACTAAAAAATGTATCCTTACAATTGCATGTCAATGTTCCCTCGAAGGAACATACTCAACCTATGACATATTTAATTTCATTCGGGCAGATTTAGAGTCGTCTACAAATTTATGAAACCATTTAGTGGTGCACTATTTGCATAAAATCGGACGAAAATATATATATGGGGGCTATATCTAAATCTGAACCGATTTTCACGAAACATAACACACATGTCTAGAATGATTAATTCAATACCATGTGCCAAATTTCGTGCAAATCGAAATATATATGGGGACTTTGGTACACCAGTCGAAATTATATATGGGAGCTATATCGAAATCTGAACCGAGTTTTCCCAATTTCAATAGGGTTCGTCCTTTGGCCAAAGTGATTCTATGCATAAAAGAACCACGGGTCTATCTCGTTTCCTTTTGCCTGTTACAAACATATGCACAACGACATAATACCCTGTACCACAGTGTGGTGAAGGGTATACAAATCATCCATTCATTGTATAACTGGACCCAACCATTTCAGTTTAAAAGGTGATTGATTTGATTGAGTTCAGGGTTAGGCTTTCTTTACGTAAAATTTTAGTTTCCTCAGTAGTTACAATGCCTTCTAGGCTTCCTACTGAGGTTACAATTGGGCCTTAGCACCCATGGTAAAAAATATACAGTTTGATAGACTTTAGAAAATAATATTTTAATTATAATCCTGGAGTTGATAAACCTTAAAAAACCAATCTTTAGTAAATGTTTGATTTTGTCTCAGCGCCATCAAGGTTTCCCATGACTTTATCCAAATTGTCTCGATATGAACAAGAAAAGCACCGTTTTTATCTGAGGCCTGAAGTGGCCTTTACCAGAGATGACATTTTGTTTTGTAGATCTCTCATATTGTCAAACATCGGAAATGTTTTGGCACCTCCCCCCCTTAAATGAACTAACTCTTAAATCTACTCAAACAATCAATTACTCCGTCAAAGGTTACCATTTGAATTCAAACCTTTCGAGTGATCAGTGGATGTACCTCTCTTATAATTCTTATTTTTTTTTTTTTCACTGGGCTAGATTAAGAGGGAATACTCTTACCATTCGCTTCCCTTTCAATGATTCTTTAAAAAATCAACGCTTCGTTGGGTTGATAAAAAATCTTTACAAAATTCAAGCTTCTGGTGGGCTCTATTTATTTTTGGGGTTGATTAAAAAATATATATATTTATTTTTAAAAAATCCGCACTTGTGGAAGATTTAAACAAAATAGAAAAATTCCCCATCTACCGTCATTGAATCATTTTCTTTTTTTTTTTGCATTTGCAAATAATCATTGCTGATGTTGTCACTTTGTCTCACAGAATGTTGGCTATTTATTACATTACTTTATTAATTTAGCATTGAAAATCTATACTAAAATTAATTAATCCACAAATACTAGCTAGCAACTATTGCAATTGACTTTCGTCGATATGATTTCATTTATTCAGTCAAATAATGAAATACATTTTATTATACTGAAACAAAAAATAATATTAGCATTTATGAATTGTTATATTAATAATACTTATTTATTTATTTTTGCAGGAGGATGGTGATAACAAAGTATTGAAATTGCGCTTCGATGTCAGTCAATATGCCCCCGAAGAAATTGTTGTCAAGACTGTTGATCAAAAATTATTGGTAAGTATTTGGGAAACGGGACTTTTTTTAATGATATTTACAAAGCGTGTGGGTCAAGGTGATCATGTAAATTCAATCAAAATACAAAACTATTAAAAAAATTTGGAATTACAAAACTGAACCGAAGATTGGTCAACTTTTAGACAAACCTCAGAACCATAATATAGATTTCAATTAGCCCATCATTAGCTAATGAAAGTTCTTTAGAATCCATTTGAAAAAATTATACCTATGTAGAATCTCATTCAAATTTGATTTTTATTAAAAAAACATACATTTAAATTTCAAACAAACTATTAAATTTCTCCCCTGACATAAATAAAATTTTCCACATCTACCCATGTTGAAAATAGTTTCCATACCAGTTCAATTGTATCACTAATATTTTTTATTTAAAAAACATAAATTTAATTTAAATGGAAATATTAAATTCCACCCTAAAATATTCCACATCTGTCCATTGCCTGTCTGTGTGCCGGTATAATAATTTTGATATGATTTTGTATCAAAAAAATGTTTTGAAACTATGACTCATTTTCCCACCGACTGAAAAACATGATGCTGTGGGAAGAGCACACACACACACGCCTGAATTTTTCTGCAAAGGCATAAAAAATTTGGCTCATCTATCGTAAATGTAGCTATTGACCAAAGAAACTACATTCACCTTTTTAGCATACATACATATACATATAATTTCTAATATTATAAATTTTCACAATTTGTTTTTCTTGGCGTCTGATATTCATTTTTTTTTTGTTTCGTGAAATTTCGAGATTTTTTTTGCACACACACGAAAAAATTAAGACATGAACAACCATATGCCATATAACGTGTCAAGGCGAAATATACATATATTTTCGACATGAATTCTTGAAGTGTATTGAATTGTATGTATATTTTTAAATATATAATTTTATATATACTTAAATTTGCATAAATGTAATGTTGAACAAACTAAATTGCAAATATTTCCACAAAAAACTTCATATAAATATGGGAGCTATTTCGAAATCTGAACCGAATTTCACGAAATTGAACACACATTATTCTAGACTTAATTCAGTACGTTATTCCAAATTTCGTGCAAATCGAAAGATATACAGCGACTTAAGTACACCATTTACAAAAAATCGGAGGAAAATATATATGGGCGCTATATCAAAATCTGAACCGATATTCACGAAACTTAACACACATCATTTTAGTCTTAATTCAGTACGCTTTGCCCAATTTCGTGCAGATCGAAAGATATATAGGGACTTGGGTGCATCATTTACATAAAATCGGACGAAATTATATATGGTAGCTATATAGGGTTCATCCTTGGGCCAAATAAATGAGCTGTGCCAAATTTCATCCAGTTCGGATCATAAATGCGACCTGTACATTGTTTACAATTTAACATGGACAGACGGACGGACATGAATAAAAAGACTCAGAAAGTGATTCTATGCACTTTCTCAAAAGGAACCATGTGTTTCCTTTTGCCTATCTCGTTTCCTTTTGCCTGTTACAAACAGTGTGCTGAGGGGCATAAATATTATAATAAATTATGTTCTGTCCCATAACCAAATGGTTGTTCCACAGTAGCATCCCACACATAATTTCTAGACAAATCGTGATAACCAAAAAACCAAAATTAATTGATTTGATAATTGTTGTGGATGACAAACGGTGGCGAGTACATACTGTACACAAAATAGCACTTGAAATCATCAATCTCAACAGCAGCATGATCACCCTGGGTGGACCCCCCACGCACGCAACACATAACAAGCTAAAACAAAATGATTTTTTAACACATTTTATTTCGAAATTATTTGCATTTGAATTTTTAAACTAATTTTTTTTTCTCTTTTGCATTTTTTTCTTACAGGTCCATGCCAAACACGAAGAGAAATCCGACACAAAGAGCGTCTACAGGGAATACAATCGTGAATTCTTGTTGCCCAAAGGTGTTAATCCTGAATCGATTCGTTCGTCTCTAAGCAAGGATGGTGTACTCACTGTTGATGCTCCTTTGCCGGCTCTTACTGCTGGTGAAACCATGATTCCCATTACCCACAAGTAAACTCATGGATGGTTGCTAATCGGAATTTTGTTAGTTTTTTTTTTTGTGTGTGGAGGAGATAATCGACGTGATACAAAAATTGACCAGTAATACTTAACAACAACATTAGTATCTCTCAGCTGTAAACCATCATTACAAATTAATAATTAAATCCCGTGTAAAATCCCTCTTTATATATTTGAAAAAAAAAAATGTACTCTTTCCACCACCACTACCACCTCGTCATCACTATTGTATTTTTTTGTAATGTAAGCTTTTGATGTTTTGTGAAAGAGTAGAAAAAAAGAAAGAATTATAAAATCACCATCAGTAAATTACATTATTTTTTTGTTTGTTTTTAAACTATTATTATTTTTTATAATTTTATTTTATTTAACAATTTAATAAAAAAATTCCAATTAATTTGGTAAAAAAAGATTTTAATATAAATATTTTTTTTTTTTATTCCATATTAATTTTAATTTATCTATGCTTAATTTTTGACCAACAAAATTGGTAAATTATTTTCTTTCTCTTTTCTTTGTTAATTTATAAAAGTAAATTGCAAAACTAAATGTTACAAAATAAAATATTAGTATATTTTGCATAAATATTTTAAAAAGGAACGTTTTAATAAACAAATTTGATACTCAAAACAATATTTTTCTTTTGGCGCAATTTATTTACCAGCAATGCGATTGGGAAGCTCCATTTCAAAGAATGCAAAGAAATTAAGAAGTGGAACTAGCACACCATATATTTTTAAGGTCCTAGATGAGTTCTTGCTATAAGACCATTTATACCATTACGTTTTAGAAATAAAGTTTCCAAAGTTCAGATATTTTTTATTACTATTTCTCTGAATTAGGCTGGCTTTGATTTCACCTTTTTCGAAATCTTCCTTTGCCCTGGAGAAAGTATACATTTCCAAGCAAAGAGATCTTTCAGATAACTGTCGACAAGCAACCATTTCTCCATTTCCACAAAAACAGAAAGAAAAATGCAAGATCTATTGCCACACTGTTTGCTTCATTTTATAACGCCTAAAAGTATGCTCATAATTCCGCAAACCAACACGGAAACACAAAGCAAACAATCTGGCAACACATCTGCACATTTTCTGTTTTTGTGGAATTGCAATTTCATCAGTTTTTCCATTTGCCGTACTAGGCAAACAGAATCGTGTAGCAGCTATATTTTGACTCATGATCAATTTCAAATGGCCATAACTCGGCAATGAATAGGAATATTTGAATGAAACTTTCTCTATTGGATAGGGCGACTAATGTAGTTTTTATGTCTATAAAAAAATTACACGGAAAAATATGTTCAGTTGGCATTTTTTAATTTTTCGTAAAAATACATCAGGTGGATTTTTAAAAGAAAATTTTTATGTAGTCAAGTTTGAGTAGAGCAAGGTTTATTTAAAGAATAATTTTTGAACAAGAATAACAATAGGGCGTGAAGAACACATTCCGAGTACCGACAATGGGGAATATTTTCAATTCAATTTTATTTAACTTGTAATTCAAAGCCTTCAGGTCCATTAAAGATAAATTACAAAATGCATATGGAGTGCTTAACCTAATAAATTATAAACTACCCGAAAATAATAAATATAAATAAAAATGCATACAAGCGTAAATACCATAATAAAAACTACCTAAATACCATAATAAAAAGACCCTTTGGATGGAAGTATGGACTTTTAAAATTGCAAAACTTCGTGAAGATCAAATCGATAATATTAAAATTAACTTTATGGGTCTCTTTTTATACCCTTCATCACACTGTGGTACAGGGTATTATGTCTTTGTGAATATGTTTGTAACAGGCAAAAGGAATCGAGATACACCCATTGTTCCTTTTGAGAATATGCATAGAATCACTTTCTGAGTCGATTTTTTCATGTCCGTCTGTACAGTTCGCATTTATGATCCGATTTGGATGATATTTGGCACATGTCACTAATTTGGCCCAAGGACTATTGAAATTGGAAAAAAACGGTTTAGATTTAGATATAACTCCCATATATAGTTTCGTCCGATTTTTTGTAAATTGTGCAGCAAACTCCCAATATTGGTCCGATTGAGACAAAATTTTGCACAGAGAACTGAATTAGTTCCAGATAGCTGTAGATTTATTAAAATCGGTTCAGATTTAGATATAGCTCACATATATAATTTCGTCCGATTTTCTGTAAATGGAGCTACATATTGCCGATTGAGACAAAATTTTGCACAGAGTACTGAATTAGGTCTAGATTGATATATGCCATGTTTTATTGAAATCGGTTCAGATTTGGATATAGAAACCATATAAAATTTCGTCCGATTTTATATAAATGGAGCACCATACGGCCAATATTGGTCCGATTGAGAAAAAAATGTGCACAGATATATACTTTAGTCTCATTTTATGTAAATTACTAGCAAAGTACCCGCTACTTCGTATGCGGAAAGGGAATAAAAAAATATTTCATATGGAATTCAAGTTTAGTGAATTTTCCAAATCCAAATGGTTTCAAATTTAGTACCATTTAGTAATTCTCATACACATAGGTAAGAATTTCTAAAACTACATCAATCCATCAATCCTAATCTTACTTCCACCAAAGTCCAAATTGTTCCAAATTATTTTTAAGTCCAAATATTAGGATTCCCGCTCACACAAAACGAATTGTACCATATTTAGTACCAATTAGGTCTTCTCGTATCCATAAGTACGAAATTCCAATACTTCCTTAATCTTGCAATTTTAATTACAAATTTATGTTTACTATCTCTATCCGTTAACTCGAATCAAAATTGTACCAATTTTTTTACCATTTAGTACACATAATGACGAATTTTAAAAAAATTACCGACATATCTCAATTCTGCACTCAAACTGTAATATTAATTCAAAATTTTAGAATACAGCCCTATCCGTTCACACATTTGTAAGATTTCCGGACCCATTTAGTACTTTTTGTTTCTATAATTAACAATTTCCTAAACTATGTCAATCTTACACTCCAACAGTAATTTTAATTAAAAAATTCGGGAGTCCAGCTCTATCCTTTCATACATAATCAAGTTGTACGAAATATAGTACTATTTAGTACACATAGGTACTATGCTTCCATATCTCAATTCTATATTCAAACATCAACCATTAGTCCAAATTATGGGTTTCCAGCTCTCTCCGTTCACCCAAATCCATCTAGTGCCGTTTATTACTTTTCGTACACATAAATACGAGTTTCCAATGATGTCTCTACAGTTCAATCTTCAACAGAAATCTTAATTCCAAATTTCAGGTTTTCAGTTCTATCCTTTCAAGCAAAATCCAAATTGTACTAAATTTAGTACCATATAGTACCTTTCGTACCAATATGTACGAATTTCATAATCTACCTCAGTCCTACATTCCAACAGTCATTTTAATTCCCAATTTGAAGACTTCAGCTCTGTCTGTTCACCTAAATCCAACTTCCACCAAATTTAGTACCATTTAGTACTTTTCGTACGATTTTTTAAAGCTAATTCCGATTATCAAGATTCCATCTCTACACACTCAACTGAATGTAAATAGTACGAAATTAAGTACCATTTTACACTTTTTATACACATAAGTACGAATGTACTTATTTCCGTACATCAACACTACTTCCCAACCAGTATTTCATTTCATATGTCAAGATTCATGCTATATATGTTCAATATATATACAACAGGAAGTACATTCAGTAAAGTTTAATACCTTTAGTACACTTATAGGTCGAATTTCCAAAAACCCTTTGCACATCATTCTAACTTTCCATCAGTGACCAAAATTCCAAATTTCAGAATTCTAGCTCTTCCCGTTCGCTAATAAAAAGGATACCATATTTGGTACATTTTAGTACTTTTCGTACCCTTCTACTTCCAACAAAACTTCCTGCATACCCCGATCCTACACCCCCATAATGACTGTACACTGTAGTATGAATTTCCAAAACTTCCTACTTAACCCATACCTACACTTCACAGAGATCCTAATTCCAAGTTTCAGAATTCCAACGCTATCGGTTCACTCACAATCCAAATTGTACCAAATTTAGCACACAGTAGTATGAATTTCCAAAACCTCCAACTTACCCTAACCCTACAACCCCACAGTGACCCTAAATCCAAGTTACAGGATTACAACTCTATCGGTTCACTCACAATTCAAATTGTACCAAATTTAGTACACAGTAGTACGAATTTCCAAAACCTCCTACTTACCCCAATCCTACACCACCACAGTGATCCTAACACCAAGTTTCAGGATTCCAACTCTATCTGTTCGCCCACAATTAAAATTGTACCACATTTAGTACACAGTAGTACCAATTTCCAAAACATCCTACATACCCCAATCCTACACCCCCACAATGATCCTAAATCCAAGTTTTAGGATTCCAACTCTATCGGTTCACCCTCAATTCAAATTGTACCAAATTAAGTACATAGTAGTACCAATTTCCAAAACTTCCTACATACCCCAATCCTACACCCCCACAGTGATCCTAAATCCAAGTTTCAGAATTCCAACTCCATCGGTTTATCCCCAATTCAATTTGTACCAAATTTAGTACACTGTAGTACGAATTTCCAAAACTTCCTACAAACCCCAATCCTACACCCTCACAGTGATCCTAAATCCAAGTTTCAGGATTCCAACTCTATCGGTTCACCCCCAATTCAAATTGTACCAAATTTAGTACACAGTACTATGAATTTCCAAAACTTCCTACAGACCCCAATCCTACACCCCCACAGTGATCCTATATCCAAGTTTCAGGATTCCAACTCTATCGGTTCACCCTCAATTCAAATTGTACCAAATTTAGTACATAGTAGTACCAATTTCCAAAACTTCCTACATACCCCAATTCTACACCCCCACAGTGATCCTAAATCCAAGTTTCAGGATTCTAACTCTATCGGTTCATCCACAATTCAATTTGTACCAAATTTAGTACACTGTAGTACGA